GATTCTTAGATTCTCAGATCCTGAGATTCTTAGATTCTTAGATTCTGAGATTCCGATATTCTGAGATTCTGAGCTTCTGAGATTCTCAGATTCTCAGATTCTCAGACTTCGAGACTTTTTCATAGATTTTGAGATTCTGAGATTTATAGATTCTGAGATTCTGAATTTTTGAATTTCTGAATTTCTGAATGAATATATATGGGAGATCACGAAGAATATGGGAGATCTTGGATCTTCTTTTTTTATTCTTCTTCTTTCTTTGTTTGTGATCATTTGGGAGAACGAATATCTGGAAAAAAAAATGAAATTGCAAGATTCTGAATTTCTTAATTTCTGAATTTCTGAATTTCTGAATTTCTAAATTTCTGAATTTCTGAATTTCTGAATTTCTGAATTTCTGAATTTCTGAATTTCTGAATTTCTGAATTTCTAAATTTCTGAATTTCTGAATTTCTGAATTTCTGAATTTCTGAATTTCTGAATTTCTGAATTTCTGAATTTCTGAATTTCTGAATTTCTGAATTTCTAAATTTCTGAATTTCTGAATATCTGAATTTCTGAATTTCTGAATTTCTAAATTTCTGAATTTCTGAATTTCTGAATTTCTGAATTTCTGAATTTCTAAATTTCTGAATTTCTGAATTTCTGAATTTCTGAATTTCTAAATTTCTGAATTTCTGAATTTCTGAATTTCTGAATTTCTGAATTTCTGAATCTGATCTCAGAATTTTGAGATTCTGAGATTCTGAGATTCCGAGTTTTTTTCATTTTTCATGATGCCTTTTTTATATTTTCTGAATTTTAAAATTTTAGGATTTTTCAAATTTTTTAAATTTCTGATTTCCTGGAACCTCAGAATCCTGGAATTCCAAACCTGCAGTTTTCAGAATTTCAGAACTTCAGAATTCTAGAATCTCAGAATCTCACAATTCTAGAATTCTAGAAGCCCAGAAACTAAAATCTATAACATTTTGATCACAGACGGGATTTTCTAATCATTAATCACCAAAACGTAAATCAGTTTCACTTTTTTCTATCCTTCAAAAAAGAAAAGAACAAAACAATCTAAGTGAAAGTGTATCATTCTTACTATACAATTTAAAGGCACATGGTAGATCAAAAAGTTAGAGATCATAAAAATCAAAGAGACGCAGAGAAAAAGAGAGATTCCTGTTGATATGATGCCTAGCAGATACGTAATACAAATTATCAGTCGGCAAGGGATACAAAATTTTCAGTTCTTCGGCAAAATGCAAAATTTCCGGATTTTGGAAAATTTAATGGCAATTTATCAGTGATTAAATGATAAAAAATCGGGTTTTTTCTTGAGGATTTTCGAGATTTTTTATCGGACGAACCCGGTTTTTTTCTCGATTCCTTATCACCATCGCTTATCACAATTAGCATTCAGGTGTTCCCAAAAGACCACCCTGATAAGGTGATAAGAAATTTGGAGGTGGTGTGATAAGAGAAATGAGGGACCGGAACGGGTACTCTTACTTGGACAACAGTTATCTGGGTTACTGTAGGAGATATCGAAATGTTGTCAACTGATAAAATGTTGCTAATGTTATGATAAACATTTTATCAGTTAACCACTTTTTGATATCTTTTGCAGGAAGTTAGATAAATTGGCTTAAAATTAAGGGGTCTTTTATTTTTTACAGGTTTAGAAATTCTAAGATTCTGAAATTCTGAAATTTTAAGAATCGAGATTTTGAAATCCCAATATCCGGAGATTCCAAGATTCTGAGATTCTGGATTCTGAGATTCTGAGATTCTGAGATTCTGAGATTCTGAGATTCTGAGATTCTGGATTCTGAGATTCTGAGATTCTGAGATTCTGAGATTCTGAAATTTTAAGAATTGAGATTCTGAAATCCCAATATCCGGAGATTCCAAGATTCTGAGATTCTGAGATTCTGGATTCTGAGATTCTGAGATTCTGAGATTCTGGATTCTGAGATTCTGAGATTCTGAGATTCTGAGATTCTGAGATTCTGGATTCTGAGATTCTGAGATTCAGAGATTCAGAGATTCAAGATTCTGAGATTCTGAGATTCTGAGATTCTAAGATTCTGAGACTCTGAGATTCTGAGATTCTGGAATTCTGAAATCAGAAAATACTAAAAAATCGAAATTTCCAAAAAGTTAACAGTTCCAAAAGTTTCAAAAACCAAAAACCGGAAATTCGAAAAATATTGCTTTGAAAAAGCAGATATCTCAGACCTCGAAAATTCTTAAATCCAGAAATGCTCAGTTTCTATAACTCCAAAGTTTTGAAAATTCTGAGATTCTAAGAATCTGGAAAAATGGAATTCTGAAATCTGGTACCGAATTTCTGAATTTTCTAGAATATTCTGAATTTCAGAATTTCAGTTTCTCAACTTTCTGAAACTGGAATCCGGGTTTTTTAGAAACTCAATGAAATATCTCAAAGAGAATGCATTATTTTCCGTCCTCCACTTTCCAAATTTCAATTTTTAATCAATCATCTTCAGAACAAATTATTCCAAATTAATTATCTTTTATCATTAGTCTACAACTATTGATAACAGAAGAGTCTGTGATCAGTGAATAAAAACCGGACAGGAATCGGTCTAACACCCCCTTTTCCTCCCGAAATGTTGCCCTTTTAAAACTGCAAACCCGTTCATAGTCTCGTCGAATCGTCTCGAAACTTGTTTCTGTTTCTCTGAACTTTACGGGATTTTTCTCGTCTTTTTATTGGAGGGGAAAAGTGCAAATTGGGGGGAAAATTGGAATTCCGGAATTGGAAAAGAAATGAGATGGGGGATTTAAAGAGACAGGGAATTTTTAAAAAACCCAGAATCCAGAATCCAGAATCCAGAATCCAGAATCCAGAATCCAGAATCCAGAATCCAGAATCCAGAATCCAGAATACAGAATCAAGAATACAGAATCCAGAATACAGAATCCAGAATCCAGAATCTCAGAATCTCAGAATCTCAGAACCTCAAAATCTCAGAATCTCAGAATCTCAGAATCTCAGAATCTCAAAATCTCAGAATCTCAGAATCTCAAAATCTCAGAATCTCAGAATCTCAGAACCTCAAAATCTCAGAATCTCAAAATCTCAGAATCTCAGAATCTCAGAATCTCAGAATCTCAAAATCTCAGAATCTCAGAATCTCAAAATCTCAAAATCTCAGAATCTCAGAATCTCAGAATCTCAGAATCTCAGAATCCAGAATCCAGAATCCAGAATCCAGAATCCAGAATCCAGAATACAGAATCAAGAATACAGAATCCAGAATACAGAATCTCAGAATCTCAAAATCTCAGAATCTCAGAATCTCAGAATCTCAGAATTTCAGAATCTCAGAATCTCAGAATCTCAGAATCTCAGAATCTCAGAATCTCAGAATCTCAAAATCTCAGAATCTCAGAATCTCAGAATCTCAAAATCTCAGAATCTCAGAATCTCAGAATCTCAGAATCTCAGAATCTCAGAATCTCAAAATCTCAGAATCTCAAAATCTCAGAATCTCAGAATCCAGAATCCAGAACAAAAGGATACCTTTCTTCAAACCTGTAAAAGAAGGGCCCCTAAATTTGAGCCAATTTATATCAATTCCTGTAAAAACTATAAAAAATGTGTCAACTGATAAAACGTTTCTGATATTATGATAAACATTTTATCAGTTGACAAAGTTTCGATATCTTTTAAAGGAGCCGAGATAAGTTGGCTGAAAATGACAGGTTTCACAGTATCCTTGTAAATCGGCAACGGCTTCATTAACTAGACTGAAGTTTATAATCCTTCATATTTGCCCTCAGAGCACGACGACGGCTCCATTTCGCTTCCCTAGAGCGTAGTCGACTAGAATTTCCTCCGATGGGAAAGTAACATGATATCAAAAGAAGACGCTTGGCTTCTAGATTTGCGGCAGACTTTTTTTTTGAAAAGAAGACGTTATGATCAATATTTCTGGAGATGACTAACTTTATCACCTTCTAGGAGTACGGACATGTTTCCAGATTAATCACTCAACCTATAGATTCTGAAATCCCAACATCCTGAGAATCTGAGATTCTGAGATCCGGAGATCCTGAGATTCTGAGATTCTGAGATTCTGAGATTCTGAGATTCTAGGATTCTGTAATTCTGAGATTAATTAAATTCTGTCTATCAATTTTAATCAATCATCTTCAGAACAAATTATTCCAAATTAATTATCTCTTATCATTAGTCTACAACTATTGATAACAGAAGAGTCTGTGATCGGCACGTCCGAAAAAGGCCATTTTAAGGCCTGCTTTGTAGTACTCGTCAAGCTTTATCATATCCAATTTAGTTAATCTTTTGATTCTGAAAGAAACTTTGGCGGGGCCCGCGAAGAACCGGGAAAAGCCCGGATTATAAGAATGGTTACATCTCTTCTTTTAGATTAAACCGAAAACCTTAATATTTGGGTAACTCGATATAATTTCATATCGGCGGATGTGAACTTTTTCGGAATGAAACATTGCAAACCTCTGATACCGCTTATCAGTTGTTTACAAAATTTTAGAATTCGCTAGTGATTAGATTCAAAAAGAAGAATATGACTGATGGGAGTTTCTATGATTCACCGTTCATTTTTTAAGGTGTACGGTATCAAAGAAAGTGTACACAACGTTTCATTCGCCGTTAAAAAATGGGATTTTACATTGGCACATTTCTATTTCTTGCACTTTCAAATAGAGTTTTAGCTGATGGTCCAGGTGAGTAACTACTTTACATTATTCCAACAAAATCGATTTGAATTTTGAGCTTGTCCCGGAACATTAAATCCACCGAATGGCATTTCCAATGAATTTTGGTACCCAGATCACTGGAATCCAGTGTTGCTTTCTAATGGTTACAACTGCGTTTATCAGGTTACAAGTTGTCTTTCTTTTACCGATTTTATCATTCTCATAACTTACAAATTGATACGAAATTGATTCAATCCCGGTTGACAAGAGAATGATAATTTTTATCTGGAGTATTTCAGATGAATGTCCCACAGGGATGGAGCTCCTATGTTGTGGTGACTGCGATTCCAACTTCTAACCTTACCAATTCTCCTATTCTACAAGTTGTTGACTTTAATCAAAAAGTTGAAAAGTGAGTTGAACTGTTTGACTCTCATAAAACTTTGTGATTTCAAGCTTTCAAAGTGCGAATAACGAGAAGTTTTACTTTATCACACCGGGAGGAAGCATCAAACTATCTACACAGTCAACTACAGTATCCTTTCAATTTTCGGTTCAATGGTATTCAAGTGAGTCAAATTTAAAAAAAATATTTTATAACACTTTTTCTCAAATTACAGATATCGCCGTAAACCAACCAAGGTTTTTGAACCTCAGTGCATCTGATTCCCAACCAATCATTGTTCCCGGACCAAACATTTTCGATGAATACCCTTTAAATAGCCGTGTCACAGCTGAAACACGTGCCTCGGTTATCACCATTCCTTCCGACGATAGATTTGAAAGAGCCGAACCTACAAAAAACCTGAGAAGCATTCTGATTTTCGATGGACCAAATGAAAACTCAACTTGCCTGGGGACTGCCTACCAACTATTGAACTCCAATCGACAATGGGTTTCCACTGGGAAATTTCTTACAATCGTCCAACTTCAACCCCTTCCTTATGTTATGGGATCTCCACTACTGATTCAAGACTTTGAGAACACAAAAGAATTCGGCGAGTATCGAGTCGTTGGAGGTGTAGATACTCGTTCAATTGTGATGGACGCATCGAAACAAGCATCTGCTTTTTCCACATATTCTCCGCTCGGATCTACTAGTGACTGTCTTATAAACATTACGGGAACAGGTACACTGGAGGTTTACTATGGAGGAATAACAGAGTCCAAGAGCAACTTGATTGCAACGTATCCGTGAGTTGTGTTTTTTATAGGAATCATGAACTGATAGGTTCCTTTAAAGGTGGAGGGACAGGAGATTTTTCGTAGTTTTTTTGTAGCTAGAGTATGTATTCTACCGTCACGGGGTACAACGCTTAATGTCACTCTGCGTACAGCTGTCGTCCTCGCCTTTATGTATGCAATCGGGCGTGCGCTTTCTCTTTGCCCGCGTGGCTCAGTCGGTAGCGGCGCCGCACCCTCAATCATCGCCCTCACAAGTTCAACTCTTCGAGGGGCATCTTTGAACGGAATTTCGAGAACATTATTTTTTTTCATGTCCCCCCACCTTTAATTTTCAGCGCATCAAGTACAGCTCCAAACCTTCCACAAATACTTCGAGGAGTTGTCAGAACCTATGTACTCACTGGTGGAATCGCTACAGTTCATATTGCTCGTTACGGTTACTTCTGTAATATCATAGAAAAAAACTTAAACGGATTCATCACTTCAACTGAATACAGAACCAACCTCAGCCTGCTTACACCCCTGGATTCGACGTTTTACTATTCGAAAGAACAATTCAATTACACACTCAATGTACAGAACGTTGATTTATCCCAGAACAAGAGTCTTCAATTGAAAATTACCAACAATAAAACGGATGTTTTGAATGTTGTGTAAGCCAAACAAACTTTCAAGCAAATCCTCAGAAAATATTTCAGGTACAACTCATCGAACCCACCAATGTTGAATACGGTCTTCAGTGGAGTTGGAACCGAGATGGAAGTCAGTTATTCCTCACCTTATTTACCATTGAATGCTAAAAAAGACGGATTTTATATCGATTTCACTGCGACTAAAGTCAAATGGTCCACTGCTAAATCTTTTAGTTTTATTGAAATTTTGCGACGATTCTTCGGACTGGATTATTTCTAATGAGATAATGAATGTTTAAAATTTGAACCTTATTTAAAATGTTTATTCAATTCTATAAAATACCATACTGATAGAAGCCCATAGGCTTCTATTTTTCAACTTCTGGCTTTATTTTCAGAGAATGGACGTAAGTTATGTCTGTAATATCCGAGAAGAAAACTGCACAAGATGGGCATCAGTTAGATACAGGAGCCCTTCTATTTTTCGAGCACTCAGAGGCACATATATGATGAATTTTCTGTTTAGATAAATGTCCCACAGGGATGGAGCTCCTATATTCTAGTGACTGCAATTCCAAGTACAAATACCACCAATGCTACTATACTACAAGTTATTGACTTCAATCAAAAAGTTGAAAAGTTAGTTGAACTGTTTTACTCTCATAAAACTTTATCGCACCGGGAGGTAGAATCAAACTATCAACACAATCAACTAACGTATCCTTTCAATTTTCGGTTCGCTGGTATTCAAGTGAGTCAGATTTATTAAAGCTCTAAAAACAGTAGAGTTTTCAAGTTGCCAACTCTGGACACTAGTCTAATAGACATTGGACTGTTTGGGCATTGGACTGAAAATATTTAGAATTTTTAAAGCTATATTGACAGCAAAATATTGGAAACCCGCATGATTATTTTCAGAAAAAAAAACATATTTCGATAAAGGTCTTTATCAAGTTTCAGAGATCCTTGTGCACCTTACGAAGCTTTTCAATGTCAGTGCATCTGATTCTCAACCAAGCATTATTGGTGAATACGACTTAAATTGATGTGTCACAGCCGAAACACGTGCTTCTAGGGGAAGGGAGAAATGAAAACAACTCGAATTTCTCGAAAACTCTAATTGAGAGACAGTTTAATCAAATGAAATCAGTTTGTGATTTCTCCGGATAGTTCCTATCATTTTCAGCGCATCAAGTACAGCTGCAAACCTTCCGCAACTGCTTCGAGGAGTTGTCAGAACCTATGTACTCACTGATGGGATCGCTACAGTTAACATTAATCGGAACAGTTACTTCTATAATATGAAAAAACATGAACGGATTCATCACTTCTCGAGAGTATAAAACCAACCTCACTCTTTCTTATTCCCAGGATTCACTTTATTACTATTCGAAAGGGCTATTCAACTACACACTTAATTTACAAACCGTTGATTTATCAGAAAACAAGAGTCTTCAATTGAAAATCAGCAACAATAAAACAGACGTTTTGAATATTGTGTAAGTCTCTAAATGATTTTCAAGCAAATCCTCAGCAAAAATTTCAGGTACACCTCATCAAACCCACCAATTTTGAAAACGGTCTTAAGTGGAGTTGGAAACGAGATGGATGTCTTTTATACGGCAGATTATGATTCTAAAAAACGCGGATTTTATATTGATTTCACTGCTACAAAAGTCAAAGAGTCCGCTGCTAAAACTTATGGTCTCATTGTGATTTTTGGAATTCTCTGGGCTGGATTTTTCTGAATGTGATATTAAATGTTTAACTGTTCAATTTTTTATATTCAAAAAATATATAATGCTAAATGAAACATTTCCATAGTATTCGGGAAAATCCAATTTGAAAAAAATCAATTTTATTGAAACAAGAAAAATTGAGAAACAGAAAAAATGGTCCATGAAAAAAAGATCGAACAACAGGGAAAGACTGAAACTTAAAGGAACATGAATATTACAAAATAGGGATATGATATCAAATTAGAGATTCAAAATTGTTGAATTTCATCCAAATCTGTGAAAAGTGGGCGGAGCCAAATTTTCATTTTTCTGAGTGTTGGCAAAGTTCAAACCAGGTGGAGCCGGAATTCGAAGACCCGGTGGTCCATTGAAGAGTCCTGGTGGTCCATGTAGGGTCGTCCGGTGGAGTGGGACGCCTGGGGGTCCACTTGGTTGCCACTTTTTAAGCCCTGGTGGTCCCTGGTACTCTGAAATTGGATTACTGTAGATTTTAAGATTACTGTAGATTTCTAGAATTACCATTTTTGTCGTCGTCGGTGACAAATCGCGTTGGCGCATTCCAATCATACACTGGGAGATCGGATGGAGTGTCTGAAAATTAGGGCTACTGTATTATTTTGTAGCTTCCAGGTTTACTGTACCTTTGTGATCCCAGTTGTATTTTGGTGGTGGCGCTGGGGTTTTGGTTACTGTAGTTGGCTCATTGTCTTCGACATCAGAAGCGCCAGATTCGTAGAGGAGCTCTTTGTACTGACGGAACGGGTACTCGTAGCCGTACATCAGAATCCAGGTGCCTGAAAATTTCGGAATTTCAGAATTTCAAAATTTGGAAGAATCTAGAAATTTCAGAAAACTTCTATATACTATGGAAGGGCTTTGGGGCTTTCTAGGATTTTCCGGATGGATTGTTCTAGAAGTTTCTAGACAAGTCGCTAGTCACTTAGATGCTTCTAGAATCTTTTAAAAACTTCTAGAAACTTCTTGAAGATTCTAGAACCTTTGAAAATTCAGAAACTCACTAATTCTATGACTCGTCTTCTGCTTCCCATTATAAATCGTGACGCGTTCATTCATATTCAATAATCCTCGTTTGTACCAATCCTCCAAGTCTTCAAGAAGCACAAATCTGAAAATTCTTAGATGTCTGTCTGAGTATCTGTGTGTCCGAATGTCCACTTTTTTTACTTCAGAATGCGCTAATTTTCATGGATTTTGGACGATTTTGAGCTGAGATATGGGATTTTCCCTATTTCCTACTGTTTCCTACTGTAACCAAAAACGAAGGGCTTTCAGAAAAAGATTACTGTAGTTTTCAAATATTCGAATTTCCAACAAAAACAAAAAACTTACCCATGATCGTACTTATAGATGGTGGTCGCTGGACGATCCATAGCTGAATTCTGAAAAATATAAATTTCAAAAAATGAGAAAAAAATTAGTAGCCTTGGGCCTAATCGTGCCTGTTTAGGCCTAAAAAACGTTCAAATTCTTATGGCCGAGTTTTTCAGATTTTCGATAAAATCTGAAAAAGTTAGGCCACTCGAAAAAAAAAGAAGAAAAAAAGAAAAAAGAGAACAGCCAAAGAAATGAAGAGGTGTCGTATACACAATGGCCCTGAACATCTGTTGGGGGAAGGCGAGAGAGTATTAGACACTCGAGTGACGCAGAGAAAGTGTGATAGGAGGGATCGAGAGACGCAGAGAAAATAATGAAGGTCATTGCGTTGTGGATGGAGTGGTGACTCACTTTGAAGGACGAGGAATATGAATGAAAGGGTTAGAGGCATAGCTTCTTTCAGAATTTATATTTTCGAACCAGCTAAAATAGATCTGATAGAAAAACTTAAAAGCTACAAAATGAACCTGTTTGAAATACTGTAGCTTGTCTATGAACAAAGTTACAAACTAAAAACTTCCTGAACTACGTGGTCTCAGCTTTATAGCTTGTTACTTTGTTCATAGACAAGATACAATTTTTTAAATAATGTCATTTTGTAGCTCTTCAATTTTTCTATTAGACGCAATTTAGTTGGTCCAAAAATATTCATTCTAAAAGTAACTATGACACGGCCTGTTAAAAAATCAATGGAAAGGGTACATAGGGCATGTAGATGGCTGTTAGGAGGTCTTAATGGCTAAAAGGGAGCGGATTGAAGCACTGGAAGGTTGTGAAGAGAATTAGTTGTTGTTGAAACTATTGATTTGACATAAAACCATTGATTTTGAGACGGGGTGTCTTTCCTAGAGGCAATTTTTTTCTCAGAGAAAAAAAGACGAAATTGAGGTGTTACAAAAATAGTTCAGAATTTTTCGATTTTTCTGAAATTTGCGGAGTATAATAAAAAAACATAGAGCTTTATTTTTGTGGTTGACAACTGTTTTGTAAAACTTGAACCTGAGGAGATACTCCACTTTTCTTGAGCCTTTGATGTTTCATCCCTCGTATGCCCTTCCACTAGCCATATCTCCTCCAGATGAAATTTTTAAAAAAAAATTGTCAACTACAAATTTGAAGCGCTAGTTTTGTTTGGTATGCTGTGCAGTTTTCAAACTAATCGAAAACCAACTTTCGTAGCTACAGTATCCTTTCGCAAAACGTTCAAATTTACAATACATTGGTTTCTCGGCCTACAGTAACCAGAATATAAAGTTTTTTTGAAAAATAAATTAATTTTCATTATTTGAAATGAGATAAAAAATTTAAGTAAGAGTGAAAAAAATAGTACATGAAAGATATACAAACAGCAAGAAGCGAAAAGGTACATGAAAAACATCCCGTATGAAATGATATGGGTATAAATGATATGAAATTAGTAATTTTAAAAATTTGAAAAAAAACAGTTATTCAATTATCCGCGATCCGATTCCTCCATAATTTTATCCAAACACAGGTTGGCCATCTGGCTGGCGACTTCTTTTCCACCGATGTGACTTCTGATTGGGATGGTGACGGCGGTTAGTTGTTTGAGGCGTTGGAGGGATTCGACATTTCCACGAGCCGAAACCATGTAGCGGACTGGAAAACGAGCTTATATTGGCTTAAATAAGCTTCTAGAAGCTCAAAAAAGAAATAAAAAAGATTTTTGCCCAAGGTGGGTTCGAGCCCCCGACCTTCAGATTCAAAGCCAAAAGTACAACCATTAAGCTATTTGTGCGACTGTGAGGGTTGTGGTGTTTGTCGTACAAAACAAAGTGGAGTTTTGGCGCGGCTTACCCGCGCGCCTCATATACGCCCATCACCCTTCGAAGTAAGTGACCCGATGTGGCTACTGGCTAACGCTTTTGTCTATCAATCTGAAGGTCGCGGGTTCGAACCTCACGGTGGATCGAAATCTTTTTAATTCTTTTTTCTACCAATTCCTTACCTCTATCACACTTCTCTTTACCGTTCTCTTCATCCGCACGCTTCTTATCTTCGGCTCGATTCGACTGCATTCTCATATGCACCTCCTGACATCCACTCTTCGTCGTCAACATCTTCAAACATTCGTTCGCTTCTGTTCTCTCCGGCAACTCAATAGTATACGGTTCACTCTCACGGATCATTGATTCTAGTGTTATCGTTGGGTCAGTCGAGATTGGCAACTCTTCGAATCGCAAATTGAACAAAATGTTATAGTATGTCTTGATGGATGCCACGTGGAAAATGTGCCATTCACCGCGCATGTAGACTCCTGGGATGCCGAGCGCTCGGAATGAGATGCTTCGAAGTTTGCGGAATTTTCGACAAGCCATGAATTCCAGGAATTTCGACATCTGAAATTAGAAAATATTGAGTTTTGAGGGAGTAGATAGCGATGGTAGGGGTTTAAAAAGAAGCAAAAAGAGAATAGAGAGGGATGGGAATCGAACCCACGACCTCTAGATTGATAGTCAATGTCGTAAAGCTATGGTGACGCTCACAATCGAAAGATGCTTGGCGCCGCGGCGCCCACCACCCCTTTCTTATACAACTTGTAGCCTCTATTCCTCAGTGGGCAGCGTGGCAGAGCGGTGAACACTTGCGCCCATCAATCTCGCGCTCGCTGGTTCGACTCCCACCTCTGTCAAACTCTTTTTTTTTCTTTTCTACAAACCATATGCGATTTTTTATCCTCTGTCAAAGGTACTGTAGAAGCATTTTCAACATCATCTTCCACAATTCTTGCTATAAAAGTTTCCGATAACAAATCCGCCAAACCAATCTGCCGTGTGGCGAATAGGATGAACATCAAGAAGAATTGATACTTTCGAATCGGCTGGTTATGGAACAAATGCATCGCTTCACCCCATTTCATCAATACGAAAAGTACAGTATCCAGTCCATCGTATCTCGCCATGTACCGTCTTAAAATGTTCACACCCTTCACAGATCGGTCATCCTCGATCAAGCAACTCATAGTTCGGAATTCTTGGAACTCCTCAAAATTGTCAGCGATATATTGTGCTCGATGAGCTTCAAGGAAGATGTACATCGGGTTTCCACCGCCCATTTCAACGTTTTCTCCATGAAGCATATTGTGCTCTTTGACTTTGGCGAGCACATCGAATACGATCCATGCGAATGAGAGTTTTCGAGTTTCTCGGCTGGATTGGGCGAATTCGTAGCACGCTCGATACCAGGCCACCGCTTTCTGAAGCATCGGCACCGACGGTCCGTCACATCTAAAGTTCAACGGGTTCGTCGAGTCGTTGCTATTCTGAATCTCGGTGCATGCCGCTTGGAAGCCGTGGAATTCCTGGATAACTCCGGATTACTGTAGAAACTAGATTACTGTAGGGTACCTACCTTAAAGAAGTTCTCTCTAAACCTGCAGAACAGTGCTGTCGTTCTAGTCTCAATCATTTGGTTGGTGTTGTAAAACGACATTTTGTCATCTTGGTCCCTATCTGAGATTCGGTTACGCATGTCTAGAATACAGTCCGACATGATTTCTCCCTCGGTTCGAATTCCATACGTTTCCATAATTGCCTGTAATTCAAAAATAAAAGTTTTATCGACATTCAAAAATCTACAGTACCCTCAACTGCCCGTTATAGTTCGCCAAATCCTTCCGAGCTCCTTCCATATAAGCCTCATATCCTTGAATCATAAGCGTCTCATCAATTTGCACTTCAAATTGCTCATCTCGCTCCTCAGAGATCTTGATGACGTTGTCAATGGCTTGAAACTCGCGGAAGAGCCGTCCGCAGAGCCGGGGGCTCACGTACACTGGTACTCGCTCGTTTGCCATGTGGTAGTCGGGAATTCGTTCGGCGCCTTCCGGCGGGATGTTCTCGCCAGTTTCGGGGTCTGAAAATAGGATAAAATTGAGGTCGGAAACACTCTAAGGTAATGTAAAAATCAAGCAAAAAGACTTTTGAAGAACTAGGGCTCGAACCCTCGATGCGAGATTGGTGGACAAAACGCTACGCCATTACACCACGGGTGTACGTGAGAGGATAGTGGTGGAGGGCATACATAAGGAGGTGGGGAACGGCGCCGCAAGGTGCAGCTTTGCGCTACTCATGTACGTAAAAGTGCACCATACACCCAGTGGTAGAGTTGGTGCAGCTGGTTAACCTTTTGTCCACCAATCTCACATCGGGGTTCGACTCCAACCAGTGACAAATATCTTTTTTGCGTTTTTTATAGTGCTTTACCTTTACCCCACTCTCTTGTCAGCGGCGCTGGTGGGTCTCCAGACTTTGTGAAATCCACTGCCTGCGAATTCTTCTTTGCCAAATTCATACAAACCGTCGACGTCAATCCATACTGGTCAGAGTTGTGAAGATGGTTGTTGGAGATGGTTCCGACGGAATCGAGTTTCAGGTATTTGACATAGAAGTCGCGCATAAGGTCGTCCTAGAATACGGTTATGCGCCTTTAAGGTCTCATATAAAGAAACTCACAATTTGATCAAAATCAAACGGCACCGGATCCTTCTTCTCGACACTGAAATCGAACGGATCCTCGTTTCGATCCAACAACAGTTGCTGATCCCAAATGATCGAATACTCGTCACCATCCAAATCTGATCCAGCCATTTCATCAGGATGTGGGCGTGGTCCATGCTGTGGGAACACCACCACATCACACATGTGATGCAGTTCCGGAATGTCGACAGCTTCAAACACTCGAACGTCTCCAGTCACGATGCACGGATTCTTGGTGACCAACACTGTTCCAGTGACAATCTTCGCATCGGGTACTGTCATGTTGGGTCCACGCATCGGCAGCTTCTTGGCCGCGTTTTGTGTGTATTGAACGAAGATTTGGCCGTATTGAAGTTGTCCCGTCTCGTCGACGACGCCGAGCATCGAGCGGCCAAGCTCTTTGGGAATTTGGATTTGCTCTTTGCGTAGTTGTTTAGCTGGAAATACAGGGTTAGAGAGAATAGAGAAAAGTTGGCAAACTTACTGATGGAGAATTTGATGGAAGCCTTGATGAGAGATCGGAAGAACGGCTCGCTGGATAGTGTGAATCCCCACATTGGGCGGAGGAAGTCAATGTCGATGCGGCGAGGGAATTCCTGGAAATTTGGGAATACTGTAGTTGCTTAGACCTCCTTGAGATACATTGCTTCCCAAATTTGAGAAACTAGACAACAAGAAACTCTACGTGTCTGCGTCTCTCAATGCCGTATTCGCTCTAATAGAAGCCCAAAACCTATAGGTGTTCTTTGAGCTCAATTATCTTGGTTCCTATAAAAGGTATCACAATTTTGTCAACTGATAAACTACTGATCACAAAGTCAGCAACATTTTATCAGTTGACAATTTTTTAATATATCTAAAATAGGAACCGAGATAATTGAGCTCAAACTTGAAAGTGTGGGGAGCCTTTTTTTACGGTAATTAATGCGCCGCCCACTTTGACCCAATTTATCTCGATTCCTGTAAAAGATATCAAAATTTTATTAACTGATAAAACGTAGATGGTAACATGGCAACCAGGCCTGTGCGGCAACAAAATTTTTTCGGCAATTGCCGAAAACAAAATTCGGCAATTTTCGGCAACAAAAGTTTTGCGTCTTTTTTTAGTAAAATCGATACGTAACTCACATGAAAATGTTTCTATCAGGCTCCGAACTACAGAAAATGTGTTTCATAAGTTCCTTAAAGGTGGAGGGACACGAAAAAAATAATGTTCTCGAAAATCCGTTTGAATATGTCCCTTGGGGAGTTGAACTCATGACAGGCAGATCAGGGGTACAGCACCGCTACCGACTGAGCTACGCGGGCAAAAATGAAGTGGGCGCCCGATTGTAAACATAAGGGTGAGGACGACCGCTACACGCAGAGTGACATTTAGCGTTGTACACCGTGACGGTAGAATGCATACTCTAGCTACAAAAAAAAACTACGAAAAATCTCCTCTCCCCCCACCTTTAAAAAGTAATTACAAAAATTGGCAACTCAAGACCACATTTTTTATGCAAACTATTTCTCTTTATGGGGTTATTCATGTAGCGAAAATATGTATTGAAATGCATTTCCGCGCCCTCGAAATTCA